CCATTTGTACGGACAAAGATGATTGTCCGACAGTATGAAATTTAGAATTTTGTGCCAACGTCAGAGCTGACCTCCTTGTCCCTAGTGGATTATAAAACACTACTGGTACACATCAAATTTATTTAACAGTGAAACTCGCACTCAAACTATTTAAACTTTACCTAATAAGACCCCACCAATAAATAGTTACAGTCACTAACAACGCAGAGAATTAATAAATAACGAACGAAGCAAATATGTAAATTTACCACTTTGATAGAATACTTTAAAATACACGGGCCCCGGTATCTGTCGACTAGGTTAAATTAAAAACGATTTCTACCTCTATCGATAATCACTTGAACCCCTCTCTCCTCACTACAATTGTTTTTGATTACTTTCAGTGCCCTTCTTTAACCATTTTCCAGAAATTATCGGGACTAAGTCTCCCTTCAATCTTAATCTCCATTCTCGTATAGTCTTTATACACTGAAGAACGTGCTGTCTGCGTGACAGTCCATTATCTTATATTTGTGGAGATTTGCGGAGTAGTGATTAATAACGTTTCTGACCAGATCTTTCCACTTTCGTGAAGATTTTGTCAATGTTCTAGTCCACTTTGTCTTGCTAGACTGTTTTTTTCGATGTCGCCACCTCCTTCACATCCTATCCATGATGTCTGGGTTCTTCCTTTTGTATCACTCTTGTATCGCCCATGCCAGCAAATCTATAGGTGGCCGACCCTCCATTACCAGGACTACTTTCGTTGACACTGTCCTGCATGCACCGCACATCTTCGTACATAACGTTCCACACGGTCAGTCCAAGGATGCTCGAGCTTCACCCCTATTACTAAAATTGTCCTGTTTTCTAGGAAACCCTTTGCAGTGCGTACTGGGTGGGTAGATGTCTGTCTGTCTTCCAAGGTCCGTACGATGCATCGTCAGAAGACGCAGTTGAACGAATTCCTTACTTCGAATAATATCAACAGAGCTTGGCGACGATGTGCGTACAAGACTCTCTTAAAATAATGTTCGGTCCATTCTTTAAGCCTCATCAGGGCATCAATCGCGGACTTCCTTTTTCTAAAGCCGTATTGATTATCCATTTCTTCCAGGATTCGATTCGGTCTATTTTTTAATTCGTAAAGTTTCAAAAATTAAGCAGACATACTGGTCGATATCCCCCTATTCTGTTTAGGGATAAGTGTTACTTTAGCAGTCTTCCAATCTGACGTCATGGTCCCTTGCGTATAGCAAATTCAAAGGCTGTTTTTGTCGTCGGGGATCTCAACAATAGTCTTCAGGAGTTCCCCCGCAATTCCATCAGGTTCCGATGCCTTGCTCTTGATAAACTGTCTTAGTGCAGCAAGAATTCCTTCTATATTTGGTGGTGCGTCCGATTCATCGCATTCTTCCTATGTGGGTAGCAGCTCGGGATGAGCCTTTTGAGTTCATCCACAGTTTGCGAGGTGGTCCCATTTCTGGAGAAGGTTTTGCACGCTACTTAGTAGGCTTCGACCAAAGGGTTTGTCTCCAGTTTTTCTAGTAATTTGGTCCATTTAGTTGATTTAGCTTCTCGCGCCGTTTTCTTTAGGGTTTTTCTTTCATGTCGGAGGTTTTCCTTCAGGCGCTTGTTGTAGGATGCTTCTCTTTCTTCTTAATAGTTTCCTTCTAGTCTCCGTACATTTCTTGCTTTGGCTTGCTATGACATTATTCAGCCAGTGTTTCGTTTTTTCTTTTCCCTTCTTTTTTTAGCAAGGATACAGACCAGTTAGAACGGATGGATGTAGTGAAGCAGTAGACCCTATAATCCAGCCTCAGTTCCTATATAAGCGAAGCCCTTGGGCGTCGGACGGTTTAGTTGCTGTTTCTGTGTTGTGTGGGGTGTGAAAAATGGTGCTTACCGTTTTGTGGTCAATGAAGGACTTTTAAAACCATTTATTCCGTTACCCATCCCCTGGACAACCTTGCAGTTCAGGTGACATGTATTATGACCTGCCTCCCGAGCAGTAGGTTGCGTTTTGCCATTGTTTAATAGTACAACCCCGACGCCCACTATTACCTATTCTATCATGTTTCCCTTTTAGTCCTGTAAGATGAGGTTGAGTACCGATTCAGGTCTCCGCCCACTACCATCATTCTATTGCTGGAACGGATAGATATAAACGAAAGTCCTCCGTTTTTCTCTTTGGGGAAAAGTAGGCAGAATATCTTACTCTTCTCCCAGAATGCCCACACCAGCTCAATTCGTCTCTTATCCCTAAATAGTATTGGAATGGGGTTCCTTTGTCAGTAGGATTGCAGAGTTTCGAACCTTGTTTTGAATCCAGTTATGCCCAGGAAGATATCTAACATTAGCTTTCGATACCAGGATCGCGTTGTAGTATTTTTAGTAGCCGTATACCCTACAAGCTCCATCACATCCCATCTACGGTTAACGTTTATCTGGAGTAGTTTTAGAGACATGGTAGGTGGATACTCGCCCTTTTATTTTGCGACCTTCTTCTATTTTATTTGCAATCTCTTCGAAGATGTTGTATCTCACACTGTCTGCACAATTCTCGTCTTGGTTGCATTTTGGGGGGGGGGGCATATTTTTTCCTCCAGACGTCACGTTATCCAGCCGATTCTCAATCTCTTTGTCTTTAGTAATTCCAGAACACTTTGTTCTACAATCACTAGTGTGACTGTTCGAAGTCGAAAGCGGAGGAGATTTGGCGTCGCTGTTTAAGCCTTGTATCATCCACAATCCCCCATTATTTGTGATGGGGGCTCTGACTTTTGCCTCGTCAATTTCATCTACCATAATACTGGCATCAACGTCCTTTTGGGCTTCCTGATTCCTAGAGTATCTGCTAATCTATTTCGTGTTTAGTATTTTCCACACATTGTTGAGGTTTTTGTAGAGATCTTTACCCTACTACTGGGTGGCAATAATGGCGCCAAACTCGGGAAACTCCTCTTTCTTTATGTTCGCATGCTTCGTTGACAATATATACATATGTGCGGTCCGTTGTAATTGCTTATGTAATCTGAGTATCCATCCTCTTCTTTTCTAGGGGCCTGTGTACTTCCCCGTTGTTGGCGAATCTCGCATTTTTCCCGATCTACATTGTAAGTGTTAATGATTCTTAACCCGTTATAAACTATCTCGACGGGCGCAGCGTGTTCGACGAAGAGGTAAAACATGCCTCTGACCACGTTTCCTCCTCGTTCAATTCCTCGAATTCTTTAAAAGATCTTCCCTATCCATTTATAGCATTGTTGATTCCTTCCGTAACTAAAGCTTTAAGGACTTCCTCGCCCCCCTCCTAAACATTTACTGATATCGTCGTCAGCTTTTTCGGGTTGTCTGTTTAGGTATTCATCTCCTCAGCCATTATATGTCCTTTCGATGGTCTTTTTTTTTGAGCCATTCTTTTATGCTGATTCTTCTTTTTCGATTATCTTCAGATCCTAAGCTGTATCTTTGATCTCCCATTTTACGTTTGTACCTACAATTGTTCAGTATATCCGTGAGCCTCTTCATTTTATTATTCAATGCATTCAGGTTAGAGATGACTTCTTCCCCTATGGGGGTTTCCTTTCGTTTAGGTGTGGCCTCGTCAGTATTTCTCCTTCGAATGATTTAAGACCACCTTGATCATTTTCTTAAGCTACAAAGGTGCCTGAAGAAGTTGAAACAAACCCAGGAAAAGTCGTAATTTTGGTATTGTCAACAATTTGAAACGTATTTTGTACAGTTTCCATTCTGGAATTCTTCTTTCAATTATGGAACAGTAATCTCATTCGAATTAATCATTTAATAGATACAGTTTATATGTAAGTAGGTGTATCCTAATATATCTTTTAATAAACCATGAAACGTAATAGTTATTAAGGTTATTAGTTATAAGTAGTAAATGTGACATATATAATACCCTATAACTAATAAGTATTTCTTTTCTTAACAGTTAGTCCTGAATTCCATGCACAAATATCAACCAAGGATACATCTGGTTAAAAGGCAAGACGGTGCGTCAGGTCCCATCGTTGATCTTGAAAGTGAAGAATATAAAACCTTTATTTTTCCTGAAACAGTATTTACTGCAGTAACTGCCTACCAAAATCAGCTGGTAAGTTATCAACAAAAGATTGTTTATTCTTTACAATGTTTTCAAAATTCCATGTCGATTATCGATATTCGCCCAAACGTGAAAATAAATTTTTAAATTTAACCATGGAAGTGGTTAAAACAGGGTTCAAAGTGTGATGTATCAATCAAGGCACTATTCAAACTGCTTAGTGAGGAAGCTAGAAATTTTGCACAAAGGTTCCTTATATAACACCATCGTGCACTATAAAATGAGTTTTTAAAATACCACCCCTGCATGTCTATAATCGAATTCCACAGAGACTGTACTTCCCTTCTAGGCTGCTTCATCATCATAAGGTCGTCAGTCCTAAACATTGGTTGGACTACCACTTTTTCCTATCCTGCGCTAATCTAGAAACTGGAACATCCCACATATTTGTACTTCGTTTAGTTTCTCTAGCGATGTGACCCTTAGTTTGACCGGCGCAAAGTAGATAAGAACAGCACTAGGCCAGAAAAGAAAGGAGACAACTCTCGGCCAAACTCTTAACCGGTGAGGAGCGCATAATTCGTACAGTACTACACGGAAAAATTGACCATTTTATCCACTAAAATTGCATTGCTCAAATGTGCTGTTATTGGTACCATTTACTACTGAAAATATCAACGAGATGTTTATTTATATTTGAAGACATATTAAAGGCTTTAACGCTTGTTTTCAACTCGTACTACTATTCATGATTGAACAAAACTTTTGGCAGGTACTGTATGAAAAAGTATGTTTAATGAACAAGAGTCGAGGATATAATGAACTTTTTTCTCCCTACCTACGATTTTGCCAGCGTGCATCCAAGACATTGGAACGGGAACATCGCTAGAGAAAGTAAACGAAGTATAACTATTTGTGAGCAGTAATCTAATCTAGATCTACCTCTACTCCTTTTAACTCCTATTTCTGCTTCTAATACGTTTCTAACTAGCCCTTTATGCCTGAGAAGGTGTCCTACCAACCTATCTCGCCTTTTTTTTATTTGACTATTGATTGAGTCCTTTGTTCTCCTATTCCTTCTAATACCTCGTAATTTCTAATCTTCTCTATCCACGGTATCCCTCTAAACTTAATAAGTAAAAAAAAAGTAAATCAAAAAGGCTTTTAATAATTTTGAGAAAGGTAGAATAGGTAATGCTATTATTTAAACCCTTCCAGTAAGTATTCAAAGTTTTTAAAGGAATGTATCTCCCTGATTATTAACCAATTCTAAAAAACAATAAAATTATCTTTATCAATGATTTGCATTAATTAGTTATAAAATACGATATTCAAATACTTTTAAAAAATAAGCAATTAATTAAAATTCCATATAGAAAGCAGAATGACAATATTAATTTTCATAATGCTTTAACATTGATTGTCAATTATCAGTACATTATAGTTTCTGACGA